CCAGTCATAGAACCTTGTTTCAAAGAATCCTTTCGTTAAGCAGGCATAGGAGTTGATCTGGCAACAGATTTCATTCGGGACAAAGTAAATATGACAGAAGGACAAAAACGAAAACTCTCGAATAAGAACCACGGATAATTCGATCTGCATTTAATTCACAGGAATTCAACAGCGAATGAAATGGTCGTCGTGCAGTTACCAGCTTTAAGAATAAAAGCACCATTAGGATAAAATGATGGTAAAGGTATAGCATCGGCGAATGTATCAGGCCGTCTGCGTCTTTTAGGACATAAATTTAATGCTCTTATGGCGAAGGGTGATGTGAAATAATGTGTGTACATAAAGCCTGTCCTTTCTCTCCTTCTATGGAAACAAACCGTTGGCTTGCTGAGCAGATGGACCTTCAGTCTTGCGAACCATTAGCGGTTATTTAATGTTTACACTTCCTTCAATTCAACCGAAGTACTTGCCTCAAGTCAACTTATTCGTGCTGCACCACTCTAACACTACTGGAAGGTTCTTCATTATTTGTTAAGTGACACTTTTCATACTCTTCGTATGACTTTGCATGATGCTTTATTTTCGTACATATACTGACATTAGTGTTGAAAATATTACTGCCCTTTTAGCCTGAAGAAGCCAGCGGCTGAGATGACTAATCCACTGAGAGTAGCGTTCAAATGAACGCAACCATTGCCGCTTATTAGTGGAAAAACGATGTTCCATATTATACTCTGTTTAAAAAGATTTGAGCATTACGACTGAGGTGTTTGCCAGTGTTCGCTGAATTTAATTTTTGATGATACCGCAGAACACTTCGTCCTGAGGTTTCCTCTTTAGACTCTTCCGCTTTATGAGAAGGGCTTCTCTTGACCAGACGTTGAATCGTTTTTCGTACATGACGGCTCGACTGTGTAGTTTGTGTCCCCCGCAGTGCAATAAAGTCACCTCAGTACTGCTCGTAGCTCGCGATACAGCTCTATCATTGTAGCGATTTCGTTATCGTATACGTGCTTTAACGCGCCGTCGTATTATTTCATGGCAATAAACTAAGCTTGCCCTGATAGTAATGATCATTGGCAAAATGATTTTTTCCACAAGGATATTTTCAGGCGCTGAGGGACATCGTAAAGCTTACGTAGGGCACTCGTTCTCGCCTATCCTAATATATGAAGTGAGTAGCGGTTGTACAGCTGTACTGACCAGCTGATGGAATAAATTTTAATATCACACTTGATCAGGTGATTTTTGCATTCATTTAGCATTCTTTTCGCAGCACAGTTCATGTTGGTATTTGTTGTGATAATACCTTGAACGGCTTATACAAAGAAAACTTCCGTGAATTGTTATAGCCGAGGTATTCTCAGTTTTTCAATAAAGTATCGGTTACTTCATTGTAGGAGAAGCAAATAATTACACTTCGAAGGCCTCTATCTTTTTCATCGTTTCTGGTGTTTCGTTAGAACAACTGCCTCCATACCGATCAACAATGCAACTTGATCGAGGCAAGGTAAAGATGATGTTTTTGCAGAAAGGGATATTAATTTTCCAGACTCAATATTGAACAAGCTATGGAACGCACAGAGGACAAGTGCGACCTTATTATTTAATTGTAAAGGGGTGTACCGTTGCTGGAAATGATGGAGCTGAGACACTCAAACTTTCTGTCCTCCTCTGTTGTTACTCTCCATGTTCCAATTATTGCTGTGCTGGATGAGTTCTCTCTAGAGTTAGACCTTCGGAATTGAAACATAGCAGCTGACTTTGTCAACTGCATTTCGTACAGAAACCGTCAGCTGGCAAAACCCGCTTCCTATATTATCAAGTAGAAGATTACTGCATGCATACTTCAGGTCAGCAAGATGTTAGATCACATATATCTTGAACTGTACCTCCATTTAACAACCTGGCCCATGTCTTCGGCAGGCTTAGCACGAGAACAATCATTTCATCAAATAACAATGTTGAGTCGTAAAAGCAAAATTACGTTACTTTTAGAAATTTCAGAGCAAATTGGGATCCACTCAAGTACCTGTTCATCGACTGTAATCGCAAATATGGTTTCTTAATGCAACTCTTCCAAAAGAAAACGTTCTCAGGTATGACCAGCATTTTAAACTTCTCATATCGCTGGACGACGTATTGAATAAAATGCTGCATTGAAATCGAGAGAAAAATAGCAAGTAGGTGCAAATGCAGTAGTCAACGTTGCGCAGATGGATCTATGAAGAGTGAGCATTTGGCTAAAGCATTAGTAATTTGACAGGAAGCCCGCTCGATGTTGGGAAGTCTCCAGCCAACTTTCTGTTTAAGCCTTTTCAGGACTACTCAGGAAAACAGTTTTCAATCAGTTAACAACAATATGATTGCACGATAATTTGAGCACCTTGTTACCAACATTTATTCATCAATACAATCATGTTACACTTTCATTCGCTTGGGAAGCTGACGAAATGCGATGTAGAGCTTTTGAAGCATTTTGATTCATACCTGATTAATTCAGAGGGATTCAGTTTATGCCACAGACCTGTAAATGTAACAGGA